TGGGGACAGCAAAAGATATCTGTCTGACCCTTGCACTATCCCCCCACCTCCGGCTTATGTTCATGCTCCATATCATGGATGTACTAGACCATCATGGTTACAGGCCCAGCTGCACCTCTATCCCTTTCTGGTCTCTGGGTGCAAACCCTTCAGGTGTCAGGCCTCATGCCTTTACCTATTCCAGGTTATAATTCTGCAATTCTCCCACTCTTAGACAAAACCCTAGGCTACAGCGCCCTGTACACTAGCTGTTTACACCCTGCACCTGGGGATTGGGACATGAGTGTCTTCCTTTCAAGAGATTGAAACCATAGTTTACAGAACAATCTTCTAAAACCAAAATATTGTTTATTTTAGCAGTGAGAACAAAGCATGTAGAAAAAAAGGATTTTAGAAAAAAAAGCAGTCTATATGAATATCTATCTTACCTAAAGGCTTACTATTCCATGATGGTAACCTAGGAACACCCAACTTCTTCAGACACCCCAGCAGGTACCTTTGTCAGCTCAGTTCCCCCAACCAACCCCCCTCTTGAGAGTCCCTTTTTAAACCCTGCTACAATTCTCTTTCCTCTTGGGTATTCACAGGCCCTTTCCTGTCCAGGCATTGTCTCATAAGAACCCTCAAGTGTTTGTGAACATGTGGCTTATCTTGAGACATTCTTTTTCCTGTCTGCTTGTGTTTTCTTACAGACCCTATTAATCTAAACCAACATATTCAGACACTAAGCATACATCAACAGTTTTCATAAATTATTACAGAGCAGTCCCAATTCTGGCAGATGGGCACTAGAACACCTACAAAAATGATCAGAAAAATTTTACTTTGGTAAACCTATCTAATTTTCCCTCATCTTATTAATGGAAATGGCTGTTTTTGCTGAAGTTTTTTTAAAAATCTCAAGCAAATACAAAGCATGAAAAATTTCAGCCCAAATGGTTAAAGTTTGGCAAAGTTATAAGCCACCAAAAATAAAGTATTATAAGGGAAAATGCTTTGTTGTGCATCCCTAACTATAGGCAACCAGCTCTGACTATAATACATGCAAAGACACCAAAATCCCCATTTTAAGATCAACCTTAAGCATTACTCTGGTTAGTTAAATATGCAAGAGTTTATTAATCTATCTGAAGCTATTACTAGAATACCTCTCCTACACTGTTCTATTCCGGTCCTCTTAAAAAAAAAAACAAAAAACTGTCTAGAAAACTACATTAATTTTTAAGGGCCATACTTAAGATCAGAATCCTGATTTATTTCATATGATCATTCATATTTAAGACTATTCAGAAGGACTATTAAACTAACATATTGTATCAATGATGAAGTATGCCCCCTCACATTCTAGTAAGAAATTGAACTACCGTAGTTAACATTGGAATGAATTTCCCTACTATTACTGTGCAGTTAGGACTCAATTTTTACCCCACCTAAGTCATGGGGCGTTTTACCATTGATTTCAAAAGACAGGAGGACTGGGCTCCTAGAAAGAAAAAAATATATCTTTATTGTTACAAAAAGATGGTATTTCAGCACAACAGGCTATTTCACACCTAACAGCTTTGTAAGAAACAGCACTGAAGCCCTTTTGATAATCCCAAAAGAAGAAACCTTCAAATACACAAATGAATTGAGTGCCAATTAAGTAAGAGAAAAAATTTTTTTGAAGTGATAATCAAGCTAGCCCAGT